ATAATATGATTCAAATCAGACTACTTGTTCACAAAAAAAGTATTACACTCTTCACAGTTGGTTGATACCTTTCCTTCAACTCATCAATAATCAGTAAAATACTTAAAATTGAGTCTAACACCATTTACATTTAACACTTCCACTTTCAAGTAAAAGTCTCATGGAAAATAGTTCTTACCGCATGTAATAACTACTCTATTAATGATAATACTACATTTATTCCTTCTAATATGAGAAACAAACATACTTCATATTTTGTTAAAATATTACTTTCTTTATATTCATTTTTACATGCATTGTCAACCTATAATATTGGTTATCTTTGTCTACTATCCCTTTACATGATTTTTGAAATAGCTCTTTTCAATTACAAAGTATTTTTAAACCTTTTCTTTAACATAGAATCTTTTATTTCCTCTAATACCATTATTTATTCTAATATATTTTTCTCTAATATAGCAACATAATTAGATACTTTATCAATTTTATATTCACAATCAACTAATCTTTTATTTTATACTGACAGTTCTTTTTCTAATTTAGGTAGCTCTAATTCTTATATGAGGATTATTTGATTATAAGTCAATTCCTCAGAATCCTCCACTCCTTTATACCTCTCTCTCCTTTTCTCAACCATCCTCTTTTTTAGCTAAATTATAGCTATTATAGCTGCACTTTTTATTTCATCAGTTAACACTACTGTTAACATTTTTATAGACTTACAAGTTACTATTTCTTTCTACTCAAAAATGAATTATTTCCTTACATGTACTTCTACTTATAATCCAACATTCAAAATATCATATTATCTAATTTGATATTTACTATTTTGCTTACTTAATAATAAAAATATTACAATTACATTTCACAAAGTTAAAGTACACATTGATAATCACTACAACAATAAAGTTGATAGGCTCGCCAAGATAATTAGTCTATATATAACTATTATACTATCAAAACAAGAATTTGATTATTCACTCATGTTTGATGACCAAGTCATTTTAACTCCCTCAAAACACTTTATCAAAGAGCTCTTCCAATCTATTGACTTTCATAATATTACATTACTTTCACATTTCTAAAAATACTTCCCATTAGACATAGATTAGATTAGCATCACTTTTGTTCTTAATGACAATAAAAGTGCATCAATAACTTCTTATAAAGCTTCTTCCATTTGCAAGTTTAAAATTAAACTCTTCTTAGCTTCTTCCAATACTTGAAGTACTCAAACGTTAATATTCTAACTTGTATAATCCAACATGATCCTTTCCTAAATGCTTTGATAGATTGAAGACTTTTGATCATGTATAGCAATACTAAACCACCCTCTATAAAATCAATGATATAATATTAGATACCATTGCTTTTCATTCCTAACACTTGATTGAGCTTAATCTTCACTTTGACATTTCAGATATAATATCCATGGATATTTAGAACTTTAACTCAATAGCTTTATCTTTTAACTTTATAGACTTTATCAAAGATATAGTACCCTCTTTGCTTTACTAAAACTTATACTAAATAGTTAATAATAAATCACTCATTCTTGATTTACTCTTCTCAACTTACCATTATGCATATACTAAGATTAAATTCTTCTAGCTTAATCATTGCAAAACTTTCAAATAATTTGAATTTGATTATAACATATCCTTTACTAAACGTAAAATTAATATAGCATTCACTGGCTTTCCTGACCCCTCATTCTCTTTTCATTCCAGCTTCATTTCACAATTCTTTCCATTTTGGTTCACATTGGTCAAATTTTTGAATCAGTAGTAACTAGGCTTCTTGTATTGAATAGTCGAGCTTACTTTAAATTAGTTTAGAGTAGATTAGTCTGAAATAGTATAAGGTTGATTTTGATTTAGTCTTACTAAATAGAAATTTCTGTACTCTTTCATTTGTAATTTGTAATTTTTTACTTTACTTTTAATAAAAATTGTGCAGAGCTATCACACATTAAAATAAAAAAAAAATTTAAATATTTTGATATCTAATAAATATAAAGAGATAAAATAAAATTTTTAGATTTATTATATTATGATATACCTAATAGTAATATTTTTAAACTTTTAAAAATTAATAATTATCAATATTTATTAATTTTAAATTTTTAAATTTTTAAAAATAATTTATTATCTAATAATTATAAAAATATATAATTCTTTTTAGCAATCACTCAACCAAAAATTTTTATGTAAAAAACATGTATATTTAAGAGCAACTACAACTTAGTTTACAAACAAAAAAACAAATCTTCCTTTTCAAACTTCTTTCTCTCTTTATTCTTCTCAAACCCTCTTATTTCAAAAAACAGATTTTGTTAGTCTAAATAATGGTGTGTTTTTGTTAAAATATTTTTTTACCACTTCTCATAGCTATTTTTTTGCTTTTCTCCTTTTTTTTTGCTCATAAAAGTGAGTATAAGGAGGTATTCCAAATGATAATCAGGATCAATAATAATTTTGAATCAATTAATTGCATATAATGATTTTTCTATTACCTTACTAAATAAGTACACTCTTTTTAGATCTCTGATATCATAGAGCCTGCTGATATTAGCAGAATTTTTTATTTCTTGCAACTATATGATTTAGGCTCTATGCAATAACTGCTAGTGGCTGTAATTTAAATTGATAGATATATTAGCATGAAAGTTTGAGAGTACTGAAGAGTTTCTAATAGAACTTAATGATATGAATGCTCTTGTAATAGAAGATCACTATAACCAAGAATTAATTAGGTAATTTAATTAAGAACTTGTTGAAGTCAGAATTTTTTTATTAGCTTCTTTTTTTATTAATAATAGTTTAAGTTGTTTGTTTTTGTATTAAATTTAAATTTAGGATAGGAATTATTGTTAGGTAAAAAAAAGAGTGTAGTAATAATTTAGTTGTTGTGTATTAATAGAGATTCTATTAATAATTGTCTTTAGAATATAGTAGGATGATCAGTTGGTTTGAGACTAATAAGTTTTAAACTTGCAAGAAGGGTAGCATTTAATAGTAAACATATGAAATGATAACTTAATATTATAAGTTTTAAGTGGTTGATCTTGCATTTATCTTTAGTCATCATGTGTCTAAATCCTATATTAGAAAAGAGGTTAGATTCAATTTTTAGATTGTTTGATGGTATAGTAGACTTGACCTGTCATGATCTATTATCAGGAATGACACCTTTGCAAATAATGTAATACTTGCTTATTACAGATCAGTCTCCTAACACAAGTTCTAAACTCAATTAGTTTTATATATATATAAAGTTTTAGGCAGTTCAATTTATTTTTTCTACTAAATGTACCTAATTTTTGAGATTTTCATATATTAACCTACTGGATTTGAATTTTCATAATAAATATGAGTATTATAGCATTTTTAAAAAAAATAATTATAAAAATATAAAATTTAGTTTATTAGATTTATTACATCAAATCCTATTAAATAGTAGTACTTTTATATTTCTAAGATTGATAGATAACAAGATATGTATTATAATAATTTATTATTTACTTATCTTTAAAAAATCACTAGATAATTATATTTTATTTTGAATTTTTACTTAGAAAACATTATAAAATTTATTATATAAGTATTAATTATTTTAATAATATATTTTAAAATATTTAAAAATAATTAAAAATGATTGTAATTAATAAATAAAATTGTCTGAAAATTTGTAGATAAAACAATTAGACAATTTTTATTTATATATAAGTATATTATACATAGATCATATGATACAGCTAGTATTAATATTACTTTTACCAGCATAAAAAAATTAAGAAATTACCTGTGTGATGATTATGTGATAAATAATGAGTGATGAATATGAATTTTTCACTGAAAAAATTTTGTTTCTAGAATAAATAGGTAAAACTAAAGGCAGAGGTGAATGTAAATAATTATTTTAAAAAATTATAATAAAATATTTTAGTCTATTATTTAAAAATCACAGATCAAACTTTTAAAAATATCAGAAATATTTAATTAAGTTATAATTTAAAATATATTCAATTAAATAAAATCCTATCTAAATTTTTAATTTATTTTAAGTTTGATTTATCAAGTCTAGTATTCTAAAAAAATAAAAAAATAAATATTAATAAAGTATTTCAAATTAAAAAAACTTACTTAAGCCTTTTATTTTAGTCTGTTTAAGTTTAATATTCTAAAAAATAAAAAAAACAAATATTAGTAAAATATTTTTACTAAATAACTCTACTAAGTCTTCTATTTATCTTAAGTTTTAGTTTATTTAAATCTAGTATTCTAAAAAAAAATAAAAAAAATATTAGTAAAGCATTTCTAATTAAATAAAACTTTCTCAAGTCTTCTATTTATCTTAAGTCCAATTTATTTAAGTCTAATATTCTAAAAAAAAATGAATAATTAAAATTTTTTTTTTAAATAAGCTAAGAAAAACTTTAATTACTATTCTTATTTTTTTTTTATAAGATTTACTTTTAATTTAAAATAAAAACCTTTGAATCTTATAAAAAAGATGAGTAAATTATTAATTTTTTATATAAAATATTTGATTATTCTTTTTTATAAAAACTTACCTTTTATTTTAAATCTTAAAGTTTTATAAATCCTATAAAAGTTAAACAAAAATTATTTTTTTAAAAGAAATAATAAATATTAAACTAATATTTCTCTCTATAGAAACTTATTATCTCTAAATAGTTACAGATTAGGTATTTATTTAATTAATAACCTAATAATAATTTAAGTAAATAAAAGCATTTATAGATTATTGTAATATCAATAAAAATATTTAATTTAATTTATAATTTTTTTAGAATTCTAAACTATTGCAATACAATTTATTAAATATTATACTAAATAATAAATTAATTTTTATAAAAAAAATATTTATTTTTTATTTTATTTTTTACTTTACTTGTTTTTTTTTAGGTTTTTTTAAATAAAAGTTATAAATAATGAATTTTAAAATATAGGTATTTTATAGTAAAAGAAAGAAATTTACTAAATAATAAAATAAATTAAGATATAACACTAATTTAAAAATTTTTTTTGATAATCTCTTTCTTATTATAAAATATTATATTAACTATATGGGACCTTTGCAGTAGAAAAACCGGAAACTCTGAAAAGCATGATTTTGAGATAATTGAGTTTGAAATTTTGATCACATGTAAACAGATTGACAGTCTGCAGAATTAAAAATAGAATTAACCCATTATAGTCCGATCTGCATTATATTGTTTATTTATTTTAAAATGCAATAATAAAAAGTTGTTAAAATAAAAAAATTAACAATCATTTTAATTTTTATTTAGATAATTTTTATTTAGAACTAACGTTTTCCAAAATGAGTGTCTGGAGACATTTTTTCCGTGAAATGAACGTCTGATGACATTTTTTTCCACGAAACGAACGTCCGGTGATGTTTTTTTCTGCAAAATGAACATCCGGTAATGTTTTTTTCTGCGAAATGAATGTCCGGTGATGTTTTTTTCCACGAAATGAACGTCTGATGATGTTTTCTTCCACGAAATAAACGTCCGGTAATGTTTTTTCCACAAAATGAACGTCTGGTGACATTTTTTCCGCGAAATGAACGTCTAGTGACATTTTTTCCATGAATTGAACATCCAGAGATGCTTTTTCCGCGAATTGAACGTCTGGTGTTGTTTTTTCCGCGAATTGAATGTCCGGAGAAGCTTTTTCCGCGAAATGAACGTCTGGTGACATTTTTTCTGCGAATTGAGTGTTCAGAAACGTTTTTTCTGTGAAATGAACGTCCAATGACGCTTTTTCTGCGAAATGAACGTCCGGTGACGCTTTTTTTACCAAACGAACGTCTGGCGACATTTTTTTACGAAATGATCATCTGGAAACATTAATCTATGGAATTAATGTTCGAATATTTGATGTATCATGTTAATCTTGCGGAATAATGTTAATCCAAAGCCTTGATTTGCATAAATGATCAAAAAAAGCCTTCTGTATAGATTCTTTTAGTTTTGAAATTTAAAATTAATTTAAAATTAACTAATTGGGTTTTATTTTATCAAATTTGACATTT